GCATTTACATGAAAGGAACATTGTCATTTGCATTATGAAAAAGTCAAATGTATTTGCATCAAACATTCGCATTCTTGCATTTGCATTGACATTTGCATTCACATCGATATTTCCATTAGCATCATTTGATGAGAATAAACATTCGTATCATGATTGCATTTATCAACTTTGTAAATATTAGAAAAAATTAAAAAAAAAAAGAAAAGAAAAAAAAACAAGATTTTAAAGTTTTAAAACATGTGTTTAAGGGGAACAATTTTCAAACAAGATTTTGAAGTCTCTATTTAATAAGAGCCTTTTTCAAATAAGACCTTTAGAGTTTCAAAAATCTTTGATTAGGGGAAAGCCATTTTCAACACCATTTTAAATTTTTAAAGTTTCAAAGCCTTTATTACGAAAAGCATTCAAAGATTTTTTAGATTTGTAAGACCTCAAGGCATAATTTTCAATACCTCTAGGCAAAACATTTTAAAATTTTAAAGTTTCAATGTCTCTACTACAATGAGCATTCAAAGATTTTTTAGATTTATAAGATCTCTGAGCATAATCTTTAAGACATCTGTGCATAATTTTCAAGACCTCTGGGTAAAATATTTTTAATTTATAAAGTTTTAATGCCTCTACTACAATGAGCATTCAAAGATGTTGAAATTTGTAAAACCTTCAGACATAATCTCTAAAATCTCTAGGCATAATTTTTAAGACCTCCGAGCACTATTTTTTTAAAACCTCTAGGCAAAATATTTTCAATTTTCAAACTTTCAATGCCTCTAATACATGAAGAGCATTCAAAGATGTTGAGTTTTGTAAACCTTTGAGCGTAATCTTTAAAACCTCCAGGCATAATTTCTAAGACCTCCAGGCATAAGCTTTAAGTCTTTCGAATATGATTCATAAGTCTCTCAAGCTGAATCTATTTTAGTTTCCAGATTTGTAAGACCTCAGGGCATAATCTCTTATTTTATTTCTAAAAGTTATTGAGTTTTTATTTAAATTTGTTTTCAAATGGTCAAGTTTAGTAACTTATAAAAAACAAGAAAAAAATGTAAACAAACAAATAAAAAAAAAAAAAAACTAGGGGAACAAGGTTTCTCTCTCTTACTTAAAAGCATCATTCGGACAAAGTTGTTGTCCCAATTGTTTTCTTATTTTTTGACTTGCGATATTGTCATGGTCGTTCTTTATTTTTCAATATGCGATATTATTCCAGTCGATTCTTTATTTCTTAACTTACGATGTTATCTTGATCATTTTTTATTCCTTAACTTATGATGATTGACCCGATTGACTCTTTGTTTTTTTTACTCATGGTGTCATCCTGATTATTCTTTATCACTTGACTTATGGTTCAATCCCAAAAAATAATAATAATAAAAACTTTTTAAAAAATCCTCAATTTGCTTTCGAAAAAATTTGTCTTTGTTTTTACCATATTCCTGATTCTCAGTAATGCACAAAGATGAGCAACTATAGACACCAAATTTATTTACGTTTCGATTTAAATTTTTTTATTCTAACAAGTTCACGGGTTGAAGCTTTATTTCCTGTCTAGCCTGATCCTACTATTTTTGTTTCATTTTTTATTTTTATTTTAATATTAATCGAATAGTATTAATAATGATGATAATATTAATTAATTAATTAATTAATTAATAATAATAATAAAAGATGACAAGGTTGGCAGTGGTGCCTTGCATGGCACCACTTGCCACTCACCCCATTGGCCACTCATACTCTACATCACCTGCTCTTTTACCCTGTGCACCTAACACTGCATCCTAATTATTCTAACCCATTCTTCTGTGCACCAATCTCCCTTATATCAATACCAACAGAGCTCCAGCAACAGAGGGGTCAAAAATAAAAGATCCTACACCCAGAGCACTTGACACCCTTCTGTCTCCATACACGCCCATCACCTCCCTTGACTACATCTTTATACTTTAGTAGCACCACCTGGCCTAGCCCTTAGAGCCTCTCATCTTTCGTCCATGCCTAGCACCCACTCGCATAGCTCCTCAGTACTCATAGACCCACACCCAAAACTCCACACCAGCAGCCAATGAGCCCCCGACCTTTAGCTTCCCACAACACCCATTAAAAAGCTAAAAAAAAACCCCAAACCTAAAATAAAAAATAAACCAAACAAAAAATCTATGGTCCTCCCCTTTTAAGAAGGAACCTAATGCTAAAAGCCACTTGCAAAAAAAATAAAATAAAAAGGTTTTTATCGAAGCTTCAACATTTGATCTATGTTAATTGAAGCTAATTTTTACAAAAAAAGAGCCTAGATCTAAGCTCAGAGGGCAAAGGGATGTCTTTTAACCTTTTTTCAATTTTTTTACCACCAAAAGTGACAGTCGACGACAACGCGAAGACGGTCGGCCAGGGATTTCTGTTTTAAAGAAAAAACCTATCTCTCTTAATGAAAGAAAGCCCAAAAAAATGAACAAAAAAAATTTTAGGTTATTTATAGTATTTTTAAAAAAATCAAAATCAAAACAACGTCATTTTGAGTAAGGGAAGATTCACACGTGAATTCGAATCTGACCCAGAGTCTAAGCATCTAAGCCGTGACTTGCACCCTATTGACCGGTCTAACTGAACTAGTTTGGACCGCCTTTACTCTAGATGAACTGCCAGTGAACCAGTTTCGAATCGGTTTGAATTGGCCAAAACCCTATGAACCACCCCAGACTGCCATAAAACATCCCAAATCGAGTGAATCAATCAAAATCGTTGACTTGTCCAGTTCATGTAAAAATTTTTTCATTTTTCATTTATTTATTTGTTTCTTCATATATCTTATTTTTAGTTAAGCATTTTTTTGTTAGAATAAATGTTTAGTTTTTTTAATATTAATAATAACAATAATAATAATAAATAAAATCTAAATCTTGATCTTTTTAAATTTTATTAAAAAAACCTAAAATAAATCTTATAAAACTATAAAATAATAATAATTAAGTAATAATAACAATAATAAGAATGAAAAATGATTTCAATTTTCCTTTTTTAAAATAATAAAAAAATAAATTAAAATATTAAAAAATATTAAAAATAAATAAAAGAGAATAACAAAAAATATATATATAAAAAAATGATAATAATGATAATAAGAATAAAATGATAAAAAAAATTTTCCTTGCCTAGATGATGAAGGAAATTTTTTAAAAAATAATTTCGCTTAGATGTTAAAAAATTATAAAAATATATAAAAAAGATAATAAATAATAAAACAATAATAAAAATAAATAGATATTATTAATATTAAATTTTCATAATATATATATATATGAAAACTTTTAATTAATTTTTAAAAATCATAAAAATCGAACTTGCTTAAAAAGTGCACCTAAATGTTAGAGATTTTTAAAGGTATTTGTGTTTTTTTTAAACCCTAAAACCTAAAATCCTAAAATCAAAACTCTAAACTTCCAAATCCTTAAATCCAAAACCTTAAAATCCAAACCCTAAATTTAACCTAAACCAAAAATTTCAAAACCCTAAAATTCAAAATCTTAAAAATTTAAAATCCCAAAAATATCAAAACCTTCAAAGCCAAAACCCTAAATCAAAAATTGACTAAGACCCTAAATTTAACCTAAACCTCAAATTTGGCACTCAACCTCGAATCATCTCCTAAAAATCATTCAAACTTTAAAACCTCGACCTAAGCTTTAGTCAAGACCATTTCAAAATCTTAAGGATATATGTGAAAAATGCACTTGAAATAATTTATTCTCGAATGCTGCCTAGACAATAAGATATTTAAGAAACTTTATTTCATTAAGTTTTTCATGTGAGTCATTAATTCTCTTTAACAATGAGATTAAAACTAATAAAAAAATATGTATAAAATAAGATCTTAAATATAAATAATCGCACATAAATTCTGCCTAGATGTTGGAGAGTCAAAGCGATCTCATTATATTTAAGAATCCAATTTCAAAATTGCATTTTATCATCATGCATAACATCTATTAATGCATCTATTTATTGTTGATTGCACTCAATTTCCATGTTTATGCCTTTAATTATTGTTTGTTGTTGGATAATATCATCGCTGGCATTTTCGCATAAAAAAATGTATTTAATTTAAAATGTGGAATAAAATAAAAAAAACATTTCGAAAGAAATAATTTTTGGTATTCTGCTTAAATGTTAGAGAGTCACCAACAATTATCTTCTTCAAAGAATGTTATTTTCATTTTCAAGGAAGATCATGATAAATATCAGTCAAAAGAATTATCTTTAAAATTTTGTCTAAATGTTGAAAAATTTTAAGATAATTCTTTAATTTAAAAATTTCTTCAATACTCTTAAATAAATAATTTTGATAAAATTAATTTTTTAATAATAAAAGGGGATTATTATTAAATTTTAAATTGAAATAATTTCATCTGACACTAAAAATAATGCATGATTAATTGGTACCAATTGATGGACGATGTGGGAGTGCTTATCCTTTCCACACATAATCGACTCTCAGACCCAACTAGATTTTCGTAAATCAAAATTTATCTTTTTGATAAATTTTAAATCCAATTTTATAGTTTTATTAAAAAGATAATTTTTGCATGATCAATCACATCTTAAAAAAATTAATGGCGACTCTCTCATTTTTTTCTATTTGAAAATTTTTTTCTTATCTCAAAACCGTCACGGCAAATATATTTAGAATATTATAATTAAATAATTTTTTACATTTTAAAATTTATTTTATATTGGAACACAAATAGGCGTATAGAGCCCAACCTCGTATAATGCTTTAAAAATATCAGCCGGATTTGACTTGACCAATTATATTTTTATGACTGATAGATAGATAAAAGTTGTTCAGGCAATATTTTCTCAACAAGATCTAAAAATGTCTAATGCTGATCGGTAGCAATAGTTTATTGATTAAATTTCTCATTAAAACTTGGGTGAAAATATGCTTACCCGTAACCCATTACATAATCATTTTCGGAAGACTTTTTTTTGGCCATCCATTTTCTTAGGATTTGAAAGTAAAATAACAAGCACAAGGAATTAACATGTGCATATGGAAGATCAAGGTCCCCGATTATGGTGAAACCTGATGTCGATACCAGGTCAATTCCTGTTGAGAAATTCTTCTATCATCTGCAATGCTGCCTTCTGTTCCGCATCTAACCCATTATTACCATCTTCCTGTCTCACCATTTCGCTCGGTTCCTCTGAAACGGGCATTTTGTTAGTCTCAGGTACTTCCCCATTTTTCTTTCCTAGCTCAACTGTCATAACCCAACTTGAACCAGATCGAGGGCCTGCTCTCTTTTGCCACACTCCAATGTGAGAATTCTCAGTGTCAAGCCTCAGACAGGTTAGAGATGGAGATGGGGTTTTGCAACATTTGCGAAGCTTTTCGCTAAGGATTGAAGAAAGCGCACTAGTACTGCTGCTAGAAGTCGTCGAATTTTCATTGCCTGTTTGGTTTTTGGCCACTGGAAAGTTTGTTTTGGCGTTACGTCCACTCATCAAAATGGCTGCCTCATCGTATGCTCGAGCTGCCTCTTCGGCTGTTTCAAATGTCCCGAGCCAGACCCTTCTTTTCCTGTCGCAACTTATACAAAGATCAAGATCCAGTTTTATACTTATATATATAGAAGAACTAAACTCTTGTACACACCAAAAACAACCCTTTATCATGGAGATTAGGTTGACTTAAAAATGAAGTCAATTACATGGACAGAAAATGAGATCTTATCCCAAAATGGAGGAGTTAACAGCGAAAGATATGTTTATCTACAAGTCAAACAAAACTAACCCAAATTGAAGAACAAGGAAAACGAAATAATCATTAATTTGGAAATGCTGCACAAAAGTGGAGATATGCAGAAACAAGAAACATCCTAAAAGGAGATAAACAGAGGCTGAAAAAATAGATAAAATCGTTGGGTATATAAATATAAATATAGGTGCAAGATAGTTTGTTGAGAATACAGTAAAGGGTGACGAATCTCAGAGACCCAAGAGCCCCAGTGGCGCTGCCTGACACCTCTGAACTTCTTTGATTGTACCATATTGTTGTCCAATGAACCGAGTAATGATTTTTTTGTGTTTGCTGCTGTTGTGAGAGAAAGACAGAAGCTGAGGAAGTGTATTTAAAATGTGCAAGTTGTGGGAGACTGTACGTAAATGATGTAAAGGGCGCCTTACCTCAGCATGGGTGCATTCTGTTTGGTAACATTTAATTATCTAAAGAAAACCAATTGGGTATGTAAAAATGCTTCATAATTCATAAGATAAGTTACACATATTTTATGTATCGTACTCTATTACCCTTACATTTAACATGCTCATTCACTTTGGATTCTGATGATATTTTAATGCGTGGTGATAAATGTAAAAAAAAAATGTGTTAATTATTGTAAAAATATAAATTATGATAGAATACAAGTGTAATTATAGCTTAATTGTAAGATTCGATTTTAAGATCGAAGATCTCGATTTTAAATTTTAATAATAACCCAAATAAAAAAAATTCAAGTGAAATTTACTTGATTCATATTCACAGCCTGATGTGTAGCAAAAGATCAATTAAACCGTGGCCCATTTTGGAAATGGAATATTGTATACGTAAACCCTCGGTGCCAGAAGGTTACATGGGGTCAACCTCTTTTTGGCTTAGGTAGGTTACATATACCATTATTGAGTCTATTTGTGGCTATGATTCTGCAATTCTAACTTTGGCACCATAATGAAGAGATAAATAAGAAAATATTCATCCCATAATGGAATATTTAGCAACGATGATAAGATCCCGAACCTACGCGTCCATTGTACCCTCCATCTTACAGAAAGTAAAGATGGAGAAATTAAAATGGTTTCACTGACGAAATGGAAAAGTACTTGGTACAAAAAAGAAGCATGTGTCTACCAAAAATTTCCAAGTTATAATTGCACTCTTGTCCTGCGCCGATGGTAAGCAGGGCCAGGGGGGACTTGGCCTCACCAAGATTTTTGAAAAATTTTCTTTTATTTTATGTATATTTGTATTAAATAAATTTAAATTGAAATTTTTTAATTTAGACTTTTTAAATTAAAAAGATAAATTTTTTTAATATTTATTTATTTATTTTAATTCCTAATCACAATTGACAAACATTTAAAATTGATTAACTTATGACAAATATTAAGTTATAATTCATTTGAATTTAAAAAAAAATTTAATTTAACATTTTAAATTCTAACTTATATTGAGTAAGATAAATTAGATTTGAAATTTCAATTGAAACATTTTGAGTGTAACATGCATAATAATATGAAATATCAAACTTTATTTTTTGGTCATAATTATGCCTTATTTTGATAGAAATTGAAAAATAAAAATTATTGTATCTCATTAATATATTGATCAAATTTAGTTTAATTCTTTTCGATATCTAAATAATTAGTTGATTGAGCGAACACTTTTAGCTATAAAAATCATCAAAATAAAACTATAAAATAAGATGAAATATGAGTTTTGTATGATTAATTTGGTTGTCAATATAGAAAAAAAAATATTTAATTCAGATTCAATTATTGAAGATTTTATTTTCAAAAAAAAAAAAAGAACATTGCTCATAATTTTAAATAAAATTTTTTATTTGTTTTATTTTATTTTTTATACTTTTATTTTAAATTAATAAAATTTAAGATTTTATAAATTTATTATTTTTTAATATTTTATTACATATATGTTTTATGTTAATAAAAATGTATAGCAATATAACTTAAATAAAAAATATATATAATTTTAAATTTTTAATTGATCCTCTCAAAATCAAACAATAAGATCCATCACTGAATATTGTATTTGTATTTCTAACTGGTTACTAGTTCCATCGAGGCTCAGACACGAGCTCATCTTCGAAAGCTGCTTGGACTCTTTTCCAAATGGTATAGACTTTGACATCTTGCATCAATTTGGTATGATTCAACTTATTAAAGTAAAAATTACCCTTATTATTTGGTTTAATATTAAATATCCATGTTCTTATACTTAAAGAGTTGAATACGAAAATTTTTTTCTTTTAAATTAGATTAATTTAATGATAAATGCATGTATGTTGTCGTACTCCAAGTGTTGGATTGCTTCCATGGTAATTAAGTGCATATTTTATGCACTGGAAGAGTTATATTGGAATCCTACCTTAATTCTCCCAAATTGTACTTGTTCGTAATGATCGGGTTTGTAATGAATTATAAGCAACCAACAGAAATAAAAAAATTATAATAATTAGACAAATTTAACATAGAGTTGAAATAAACCAACATTACTCACTTGCCACAGTAGATTTTCTATACTCTTGAGTTATGCCTTCTTTCATCATTAATAAATAACTTCCGCCTTTTTTTTTTTTTATTCAAAGGAGGACATAGCTCTTATAAGAGGAAGAGATCTTGACTCAGAATCAAGATTTCTATGTCTTCATAAAGCTTCCTTAACCACAAACCAAGAGGTAAAGGACAATTAATTCTGCTTTTAAAAAGATGATTATTAGACTCATCAAAAACTAATAAAATTAATTAATGAGAAAATTTATATAATTACACATCAACTGTAAGGCGAATTTATAGAAATTACAAATCAATATTCCATTTATCTTCATATAAGAATTCTTCTTCATTTATGATATTCCATGTGATGTAGTTATAACTTGAAAATGGTTATTTACTACTACAACGTGTTACAATTTCAATAAAAATAATAATGTAATAATTAATGAGATATTTTAACCCGTTTAATTAATTAATATATATTGATTCTTATATTAAGTGGATATATATATATAGATAGATAGATAAATTGACATTTAAAGAGTATGTGGCATTATCAATTATATCAATCATGAAAGTTCCTATAGTGTTTAATGTTAATGATGGCATTTTGCCATTTTCCATCTACCTAAATAAATAAAACTGTAAAAGGACCTTAAAAAAGAGCCATTTCTTTTAGCATTTTTTCAATTTTTTTATTATTATGAAATGATCTGTCACTTTTTTTTTTTGTTACATCTATACAAAATTGCTTAATTTTATATTTTTATAATTTCATGTATGATTAATATTTTAATAACCCAATTGTTGATTTAATAATTTAATCATAATCATCATGTACGTAAAGTTTTAAATAAATCTGATAGCTTTATTATATTGATCGAGAATACTACATTATATATATATATATGTATTTTTAATGAGTGAAATTTTTTATTAAAGTAAAAATCTACTTAAATTAGTGTAATTCTTATATTTTGTTTTATTTTTAAATTAAAATTAAATCAATTGCTAATTTGGCAAAATATTGTTTTTAATTTTAGCTATTTTGATCCAAAAGTTTTTTTAAAAATATAATATTTATAATAATGTAAATGATCCTTCCTCAAATTTTTACATTAAACAGTAGTTAAAAAATTTTAATTAACTAAAAATTTGACATATATGATATAGAACATGAAATACAATAATCAGATTAAGCAAATGTAAATCATATAAAAATTCTGAAATTTACAATATTGGTATAATATATATATATAAGAAAAATAAAAGAACAAACTTGTTCTAATATTGTTATCATATATCCAAATGTAATAACAAAAAAGCAATATGCGAAAATATTTTAGTAGCATTATTTTTTCATCATTTCAAAATTTGTTATAAATATTACTAGTAATATTTAAAAATAATAAATTGCTCCTACATTTAGCTTGAAGGACCCTACGATTAAATCATTGATTCAATGATTCAAGACTACTTCTAACAGATCGCTGTCTAGTCCGATCATAATACCTACGAGCATAAATGTATAATAGTGTATAGGATCTCCACATTTAACAATCTTTGGCAAGAGAGCATTTAAGGGGTGGAAAGGCAAATATGAAAAGGATGAGTTATAACAAACAAGCAAGAAGTTTAAAACAATGTGATACATATTACATAAAGAACGACATAACATTGATGTGAATGATTGTTTCCATTGGCAAAAGTAAGAAAAGCTTTATCCCCCTAAAACAAATACGTATTACAGCGATCATATGCGAATGCTAAGGGGTCAGAAGCAAAGGAGTCGAAGGCAGATCTTTAGGGTTTGAGGATGGAGGAAAAGTTTAAGGTGAAATTTGGAGTGATTCCAACAAGATATTGGATGATCTACTCTAAGTAAGTAAAAGAAGTTGAAGCAAAGATTGTCGAAATGGTAAAAATAATATTATTTTGAACTCAATTGAATTATGTAATCACTATAACATTTAATAAATTTAAAATTTAGATTTTAATATTTGTAATTTTTTTAATTTTCAAACTATAACCTTTTTATATAAAAGGAAAACAATATTGCTACTTAGCAGTCTTGGCTTATTCCTTCACACATTTGTTTTGGAAACATTATTACGTGGAAAAGATATATAGTAAAATATTAGCAAACACAAGAAGTATTAGCCTCATGAAAGTAAATGTTGGTTTTTAGGATGATCATCTAACAATGATAGATCTTAAATTCTTAATGGCTGATCTCAAACAATGATGGATCTTCGTGGCCGGATCTTAATCATATTAACCCTTTAAAGATTATAATTTTATCAAATAAAATAATACAAATATCACTTTTAAGTTATATATATAATACAATAAACTATTAAATATTTTAATATTTATTTTAAATTTCTTTAAAAAAATGACTTGGGATTAGAATTTTCCATTCCCATTAAATCATCATGGGATCGTAGGATAAAGATTTCTTAGTTCTCATGAAACGGGGCCTCCCTATGCCAACAAACCTCGTCCCTCGTTACATAATTTGGCCTTCAGCACTCTGACACGATCCAAAAGAAAACTGTAGCAGCTAGAGCACTAATCTTTGGCTTTTTCGTTAGGTATAGCCGAAAGGGGTCTACACAAAAAGTTCTGGAATGTTAGTACTTTTAATTAATGCAATTGACAGTAGATTGTTAGAATCCTTAATTGCTTGGGTTTCTATTTGTTGGGATAAACTGCACATCACTTGAATGCAATATGTTCACTTTTTTAGCTGCATTTCTCCGGGTCCCATAATTTAATTTCTCCCTTACTCTTTTATGTTTAACAGCTGGATTACCCGAAAGTTTGTCTGTGCCCGAAATTAAGATTTTAAAGGGAAAGTAAAGTTTGTC